GTATGTATGTATGTATGTAATTATGTTTGTAATTATGTATGTATGTATGTATGTATGTATGTATGCATGTATGTATGTATGTATGTATGTATGTATGTATGTATGTGTGTACTACAGATGGATAGCCGGACTGATAGATTGATGGTTTGGTCGATTGGTTGGTGGATAGATCTCTCTCAGCATACACATATCCGTACACACATGATGTACACACAACAACAAGTCCAAGTAGTGTCCAGAGATGCAGAGAAATAAGGACAGACAACAAGAGAGAGGGAGAGAGAGAGAGAGAACGAGGCAGAGCGAGAGAGAGAGAGTGAGCGAGAGAGAGAGAGCAAGAGAAATAATGAGACAGAGCGCGAGAGAGAGAGAGAGAGAGAAAGAGAGAAAGATAGAGAGAGAGAGAGAGAGAATGAGAGAGAGCGAAAGGAAAGAACGAGAGCGAGACAGAGATACTGCGATACACACCGGTTGATTCAGGAAGCCTCATCCTAACTCAATCCCCGCAACACCAAAACCCCTCACCCCAAACTGCAACCCTACACTGTCCCTACACCCTAAAACCACAAATCTCTAAACCCTAAACGACCCTAAACTAAACCCTAAACCCTAAACCGTGTACCCTAAACCCTAAAACCCTAAATCCCTCATGGGCCAAAGGCCCCCGGTCCAGATGCCAGAAGCAGAGCGATCCATCGGCAGCTCCGCTGAAGACCCGGTTCTTGTTGAAGTCAACGGCCTGGCTTGGGCACTAAGGCTTTGGACTGTGGGGGTTTAGGGGGTTTGGGGGTTTGGTCGTGTGGTTTGGGGGATTAGTTTCGGGCTTTAGGGTTTAGGTATTTAGGGGTTTGGGGGCTTAGGGGTCTTAGGATTTAAGTGTGGCAGGGTTTTAAGGCTTCGGGGTGTGCGGTTTAGTTGTTGGGGGGGTTGGGGTGTAGAATCCAGGGTTCGGGGGTTTGGGAGTTACGTATGGGTTTTCAGGATTTTGGTCCAGTGTTTGGGGGATTTGGCAGGGGCTTACGGTCTGGGAGGGGGCGGGTCCCACTAGCTTAGGGTCTGAAGCTCGAGCTTTTGAGTTTTAGTTTAGGGTTTAGGGTTTAGGGTTTAGAGTTTAGGGTTTAGGGTTTAGGGTTAAGGGTTTAGGGTTTAGGGTATAGGGTTTAGGGTTTAGGGCCTGGGGTCCGAGGTTTGTGGGTTCAAGGCTTCTTTGGCTTTGCGGAAGCTTTCAGGACTGGTGTCTAGCGACTTAGGAGCTTCGGCATGTTACTTTAGGGGCCGAAATAATTACAGTTTTTTTTTCTGGAGGGGTTCCTTATCATAAGTATAGTATAATGGGGCCTAAATAATTACAATTTCTTCTGGGGGTTCCTTATTGTAAGTATAGTACAATGGGGCCCGAAGCCCTGTTCTTTTTTGATTAAGGCCCCACTATTAGGATTCTTGTGACGCATGGATGTCGAGGGTGGCACGGGTTGTAACCCTGCTACCGTGAAATTCGGGCCGGCTCCGCCAAAGCTGTGATGCTGTCGCCGTGCTTGTCGAAGGTGCCTCCAACCGCATGAGCCAAGCTTTTTCCATCCCGGGAACTCGGCTTCTGGACTTGTGTAGCGCCAGTGTTGGGCTTAGGGACTTTAAGAAACTTACCTATAGTCTCCATTGTAGTTCCTTTTTGGGGATACCTTTTAAAACCCTTAATATATAATTGGTTAAACCAAAAAAGGAAACTACAACGAAGACTTTAGGTAAGACCTAAGGCTTAAGAAAGTGACCCTATTCGGACCCGGGCCAGCTACACAGACACGGGCCCAGGCCCCAGATCGAGTAGGGTGTAGAGTGGGGGTTTCGGGCTTAGGGCTTAGGGNNAGGGTTTAGGGTTTAGGGTAGGCTGTCCTGATTCAGAGACCGTTAAAGCTCTAACGATCAGCATCCAGCCCTGTGCACCTCGACGAACATTGTAAATTCCGAGGCGTAGAAACAGACTCGAGCCCTCAACAGCAAACCGGAAACCTCGCAGCCGAAAGGAACTGGAGAATCTAAGCCTGGAGCCCGAAACTCCAATAAACCAGGCATCCGAGGACACTCATGCATGACAAAAAAACCTATAGCAAACTTGGAGGATTTATTGGCAATGGAACCTAGTCTTGGGGAAGTAGGCACTCGAAGCTCTACGGGGATGGACGCTCCATCTGGATTCGGCCTATGCATGTCAGCTCGGGGACAGTGACGTCCCAGACCTTTGTCAGAAAGGTTGACTTTGAGTTTCACGGTGGAGACAGGAAGTCGAGAATTTTCAATCCAGGCTTCAATCGAACTTGCTTGAGATACCTTGTTGCGTAGGAGTTTGTAAAAATAAGGGGCCCTTGCAAGTAGGCATAGTTTGGAATCAGGCTCCGTTCCAAGCCATGCCAACCTCACCAAATTGTTGCTTAAGCTCTTGCACTGCAAGCCTCAGGACTAACAACACTTTGGCCCGGGTGTCGGAGATTGGGCTCGCGTCTCACCCACCATATATAGAGTAGCAGCAACATCGAAAGCAAGAACGACACCACTCACACCACCACCAAACACCA